TTAGATTCAAGAATGCCAAATCTGAAAATTTTGGTTCGCGGGTACTGTTCACGCAGAAACTCCAGAATTTTTGCTCAACTTTGAAAATTCATAATTAAATCTAAAAAAAATCTAAATTGAGTGCTTCCAAGTCTCACTGAAAGCTCCTTAAGTTAAATTTAAAAGAAAAATAGTTTTAGGAACCAATTCTACGCTGAACAGTATCGGAATTGTACGGAACTCGAAACTCTTCCAAAAGTTTAACATTGTTTCCATATTTCAAACCCTAACTTTGAAAAATCGCCATAAATGGTACACATATCCAAATGAAGTGTTCTACCCATGGATTTAAATCTTACAGAGTGTACTTTAAGCATGCAAAATTTCAGAATCAGATACGCACAGTAACTAATTCGAAATAGGTATCAAATCAGATGCTATAGCCACCACATATCTTGATCTTGAAGCTTGAACTTAGGTGGACTTTCTCTCACTAGAAATAGATCTTTCTCTCTCTAGATGCAAGAGCGGTAGAGTTTCCCCTATGGTTCCCTTGCTTGGCCAAAATATGAGGGGAGGGAGTGCCTATTTATAGGCAAAAATTTGCCTTGAATGGACCAAAATGCCCTTAGCTAGAAGAAGGAGTAAGGGCAATTTTGGAAGTTCAAGTGGACTTTTGCATCATCCTTACATCATGCTTCTAGAAGAGGCCACGTGTCGCAAAAATGGTGGAGGAGAAGGAAGATTAGATTATAATTGTCGGATCTAAACTTAGCCCTTAAGTTTCCTCTTATTTTACTTGGCCCACATTTCTCCAACTTTCTTTATGGCCTTCTAGGGTTCAGAAAATTCTTCTGTCTACTCCATAAATTCCCCTTCATTCTATAGAGTATCTATAAATTTTCTCAAGCTATAACACTTCCTCTAAGCCTTGTATAAAAGTCATTTACTAAAATATCCTTTTATCGGTATAATCTGCTCTTTAATTTATTAAAGCCATTCTACTGGCCTTTTGGTTGCGGGACTAATTTTATAAATTAGTATAACCTTTCAACCAATTAATACTCATTTTTACATATATTTTTGAGGTCTCTTGCTATTTTAAATAATTACCTCAAACAGTGTACTTTTTACTGGCCATAACCTCATAAATTCCATTTAAGCTATCTCAGGGATATTTTCGTCTTTTCTCTTCATAGATGAGTCTTAGAATATTATTTCCCATTTTTTGGTATTTTCTTGAAATTTTCTGTACACTCTTCTATTTTTGCCTTTGCTGGTCATAACTTTTTGAATTTACAGTTTAGTCCCTGCTTGGACTTGACTTCATATAATCCTCTCTTTGAGGCTTCTAACTTAACCTTTGGCCTATATCTAGTCTCTTTTCTCTCTCTAGGCCTTCGAGATTTTACTGGAGTCTTTGACCTTGATTATACTGAAACCCCTGAAAAACTTTTACTTTGCAGTTTAGTCCCTGAAACTACTTTGACTTCCTTTCTTATCTTTGAGACTTCTGCTTAAAAAGGGTTTGGTAGGCTATCCAATTCAGGCTACTTTTGATGCTTCTAGGCCCAAAAGTTTGGATGTTACAGGTACCAAATTGCTCTCTTCTTATTTGCCTCACTTATCAAGACTATCAATGAGCTTTGTGAAAATCTCAAAATGAAAACTTAGCTAATGATTGATATATTGGACTTTTGGCCTTTATGAAAACTGTTTGGTAGAACAATTATTTCTTCAAGACGCAGTATGATGTAAACTAAGTTGTTTAGCCTTTATTATGCTAACAGTTTGATCTATGCATTGTGTGATAATCGTTGTGCTGAGAAGTAGTTGTTTTGACTATTTAAATAGTTATTAAGATTAACTGATTAATTGTTATTATAAGAGGAGGTTCGTGATGGAGAAATAACATTTATGACCACATGGCACACTACCATATGGTGCTTTCTTTTGCCAGGACAGCATCCCCCAGGCTTGCGACACTCTAGTGATTCATACTCAGGCAGCATCCCCGAGGGCAGGAACTCAGCCCTTGTGTGCTCTACGGACTTTAGCCAGTCTGCATCACATTAGTGGGTAGTGATCAGTCCATGGGTTCACATCAGTGGGAATAAGGAGGAGATAATGTTAGAACTAATAATATACTAGAATGTGAAATTTCATAATTTTTATTAATTGTTGTCTTGCTATGTCTTGAATTGTTATAATTATAGCTTTACTATTGTAATAAAATCATTGTGATATACTTGAACAGTTAATCTAATCACCTAGTTATCTGATTGAATAACAAGGTCTACCTGCCATCTCATAGGTGGTGTCGATAGGTATGGTGGGTAGGAACTGAATTACTAAGACATTTTGTCTCACCCTTTTACTTTTATCACTTTTCAAGTGAGAGCAGCAGAGGAGATGTAGTAGGAAAAGTTCCGGAGGCGTGAGGCTACTCTCTTGAGTAGCTAGGCCTTCCATAATTGTTATGTTTGATTTACTATTAATCGCCACCCAGGATAGTTAGACTGGTTTCTATTCATCTAATTAATTTGGGGAATTGCATTTATTATGAGTTTATCGCTGCTAAACTGGATTGTACTTTATTAGTAGGCACAAAACCATTGGATTTGCTTCTTTTTATTTTATTTTATTTATTTGTGGATCCACAAGAATGTGAAAATTTTCATTTAAGTAAGTGAAAATTTTCCTTTGAGGTGGTGGCCTGAGGCCCCTTTTTGATTATTGAACATGACATAACTATGTTTATCAGGTGCTTATGGTTCTTTCTACAATCATGGTAGTTAGGCAGCATCCCTTCCTAACATGGTTAAGGTAGTGATAAACTATCGCTAAAGGGTATTATCCCCTTCCTTAGAGCTTATCTAATTTTTTATTGGTAATCGATGACAGGTACTTTTTTAATAATCATTATAGATTGGTGTGTAAGTAATTCTTCCCCCCCCCTATCATGATATTGTTTTAGAAAGAAAATTTCTGGTTTGTTTCTCTTATTATCACCACATCATATACTATGATTACATGTGGGGCTAAGTTCAGTATTTTCAAGGTAGGACATTTCATCTTGCTAGTATTAAATACCCTCGAAGAATTAGCGTTTAGTCTTGAGCTTTGGCCCCGTTTAGTATCACCAAAAAAACGAAGTAGCTTGAAAAAGAATTGGACTTTTTCGGGCATGGCTAAATGTAGGGCAAGGAATACTACCCTACCAAGGGTCTATATATGGAAATTTGCTCAATATATATAATATACATTATATATAATTGTATTTAATATATGTGTAATATACATATATGGTAGAATTAAATATTTCAAGACTCAAGTTGTTGACATGTATGATCATGGATGTTACATAAAGACCTAACGTGTGGTGACAAATTATGCAATTATAAAGAGATAGGCAATGACATATAGATATGTGGGTTTGTAATATAGCGTTTATATTTCTTCTCTTGTAATATGAGAGATCTTCATACAAAAGAATAAAGTGTCACCACTTAGGAAGGAAAGCCCACTCTACCTAGTCCTGTCCAAACTCCAAAATTACTCAGGCTTTCATCGGACAAGACTAGGAAGTGGTTATTTTTCCGGATGGGGGACCCTAAAAAATAGAAATCTAACTAGAAGAAAGGGATTTAAATGTCTTAATTAGACACAGACAATCATTTAAAAGAACAGTAGTAAGTGATCTTGTACACTAGGCTTTCGTTTTACTCCCTTCGTACCTTTTTATAAGCCACAACAATCATCCATCCATTTTTCCTAAATATAAGCAATATTTATAAATTCTGTCAAAGTTTTGTAGCAATTTTTCTATTTTGCCCTGATCAAAGATTTATTTAATAGTTATTAATATATTTATTTTTTTGTTTCCTAAACATTATTTCCTAGATAATAAATGTTATGAATATTATGTTTTAATATAATCTCTCTCCATCACAAGTCCTCTCTTTTTCATAACTGTTTTTATTATAATAATTTTTTAATCTTTTTTTTAATATTCTGTCTTCATAAACTTTTAGTTTTTACATATTTATTTTTTTTAGTCTAGTCTAACGCTGTGTTTGGCTCGATGGAGGGAAGGGGAGGGGAGGGATTTTAATCAAGGGAAGGGGAGGGGAGGAAAGGGGAGGGTAGCTACAAAGGGGAGGGGAGGGAGGGGAAAGAGGGGGAGGGATTTTAATGATCTCCTGTTTGGATTAATTGGAGGGGAGGGGAGGGAACAATTTTAATAATACCTTATTTTGTTCTAATAAAAATTGACTATTTTAGCCTCATAAAATTTAAATGAATTTTCTCACTTTTTTATTTTGTTAAGATATAACTATATATATAATACAATTCACCAATTTTGAGTTACAAGACATAGTCACACACTTATAGAATATCAAGATAAAAAGTTACGAGTGATAGATTCCAATCTAAGAAAAGACCTTGAAGGTGAAAGAAAATACCAACAACCTCTTGGAATTAGAAGAAGAGAAAAAAAAAAGTTTACAAATGCTCACTAATTTTGGAGACAATTATCTTAATAACCTCTTGTTAGATGCTCAAAAAAACTCTCTTATGTAGAAATATTTACGACTGATTAGAAGTTAACAAATCAAAAGGGTATATAAGGAATTGAAATATTATCTCTCATCTCCCCTCCAAAAAACCCCACTTTTGGAGGGGAGGCTAGAAGGGAAGGGGAGGGGAGAAGAATCACTTCCCTCTTTAAAAAACATCTTAACCAAACGAGGGAAGGAGAGGGGCTCCCCTCCTCTCCTAAAAAATTACACCAGCCAAACAAGGGGAGGGGAGCAACTCCCCTCCAAAAATCCCGTACCAAACATAGCGTAAGGGTTACTCATGAGAAGGGACGGAGAAAGCGGCAGTTTTAGCATTTCCCAAACGACAATCGAAAGGCCGGGAAACTGTGAACGCAAGGGTGTGGGAGGCTGGAAGGGTATCCAAACTAGGCGTATTTGAAATATGAAATTCTCGAAATGTAGAACGTGAAGGTGAAGATGCAACGGCCTAACAACATCACTGTTGAAATCGAAGACGACGAATTCCTATCGCAGCTCGCGGCGGTGGAGGACTACGTCGTCTCTAACAAACGTCCGAAGCTTCTTTGCGCCTCTGAGGAAGAAGGACAATACACCGCTGCTTTGAAGGGAAGCCACAATTTTCCCGCCACTGCAGTAACCAAAGGAATAAGCGGCGGCGTTCCGGTGGTCGCTGGTGGCTCTTGCTTCAAATGTGGAAGGCCCGGCCACTGGGCTCGCGACTGTGTGGAACCGGCACCTGGAGGGCATGGTGGAGGGCACTTTGGTAATTATGGGAAGGACGCTGCCGTGGTCGAGAAAGCTTGCCCCTGTGGAATGGGAACTTGTTTGATCTTGACGGCCAACACCGAGAAAAATCGAGGGTCGCAAGTTTTACAAGTGCCCTATTAGAGAGGTGGGGTTGGGTTATTCTTTATCGTCGTTGAATTCCTCGGAATAATCTTAAGTGCACATTATATTAAATTAAAAAGTTTCTTTCGGGATTATGATTGCGTTACAAATAAGTTTCTTTCATTCCCCCCCCCCTCCTGGTTGGACTGGTTGAGCTCGAGTGAATTGTCCAATCTCAAGGAGGTGTAACAATGAGTTAAAGAGGCAGGCCCTGTCAATGTAAGATCGATATGGTTTGAAGTGAGATTGGCATTTCTCTCGCTCCCTGTTCGGTCTTTTCACTTCAGTTTAAGTATACTCTGAGAGATCCTCCGTAGACATTCGGCTAAACCTCTCAAAGAATGGTCTTAGAAAGGTAAAAACGTGATCCTGTTTCCCTGAATGGTCAAGGTCATGGCACAATAGTAGAGCATCTAAATGTTGTATAGTGGGATGTATCAACCTTTCGGACTTTCGTTTCGTTTTTTTTTTTTTTTTTGGTTGTGTTTTGTATTATATACTAAAAAGTAGATAAGCAAATCACGTGGTGAAGTCATGGGTTATTGTGTTCGCTAGAATGAGTAGGAGAAGAAAGGGGCAACTACTCAATTCAGAACAGATTGAAGCTAATGAGAATTTCTCCTGGATCCTTTTCTAGTTTTGAATATATTTTTGCCAGCAAATTTTGAAATTACGTTTAAGTGATAATTCTGGTCTTGATTTCCATGGAAGGATTTTGGCATCTTAGAATTTATTGTCTCTCGTGAAATCTGGTTAATAAAGGGAAAATTTATGCTTGTTTGTTTTACATGCTTCAATAATTTGACAGGAGAGTGGCGGCTGTGGTTTCTTTGAATGGTGTGATAATGCTGCTGGAACTAGAATGACTTCTGGAGGCAACCAAAGTTCCGTGTCTGATTCATTGTTTCCATCCTTTCATTGTCCTTGTGGTGCTGGAGCTTGCTTGATTCTAACAGCTAAAAGTGGTAAAAATCATGGCCAAAAATTTTATCGCTGTCCAAGAAACCAGGTACTACCTTTTTCTTCTGTTTATACTTTTCATTGATAAATGAAACCAAGCCAGCCATCTCGTCCAACCGTCAGATTTATAACTTAGCTCGGTTTCGGCTTTGTGTCCTTTACACGTTGCTTTCATAATATCTCTGTCTTAAAGTAATCGATTGCCAACCAAAAGATACTGATAACATTGTTTTATTGTTAGGTGCATATCTTCAAATTATTTTTGGCCAAATAATTTGATGGACCCGTGACTAATGGGCCAAGCCTAAGGAATGTGTGAAGTTTGTGTGTTTGTTTGGGGGGGGGGGGGTGTGTGTGAGAGAGAGAGAGTGGGCCGTGTGATGTATAATTGTGCAGAGGGGCTGAGTGTGGGAATCAAGTAGACTCTGAGTATTGTGAGGAGAGGGGGTTTTAGTCTCTCGGATACCAGACTAGGAGGGAATTATTTTCTCTTGTTTCTTTCATTTTTCAGTGTGTTTGAGCTTTCTCAAGGCTAGAGGAAGCATTAGGACCTCTATTCTTTGCATTCTTTAGCTGTAATGGAGGATACAAAGCAGAGTATTTCTTCAAATCTGTCTTAAAAATAGCCGGCTCTATCAAATTTATGCAACATGTACCCATATTTTAAATATCTGATAAACGACCAAGTTCAGCGATACTATTATGTATTGTTCGATTCATAGCTCTTAAGCATTTTGAACCAAATAATTGCGTATAACGTATTGTGTGCATTTAAAATCTGATAAAAGTCATTATGCAGTGATATAATTGCAAGTTTGGATACCATACTGCTCGTCGTAATGAACAGTAGAAAAATTAACCTCTCTTAGAGGTGGCATATGTTATGGGATTCTGCCATGTTTTGCATTCCTTCTATTTGCTCTTGTGGCTTCTTTCTGTGCTGAATGCTTACATAGTGCGTCAATTGTCATTAAGTTGACATTCTTTAATATAGGATTCGATAGAATCCGTTTTCTCTTTTGAAATCAATTTTGCTGATGCATCTAGTACGGCAAGGTTGTTTGATCATTTTATGTTGATAACTGAAAGTTTGAAACATAGTATGTAAGGCTACATTTCAGCAACGTCATTAAGATTTAAGGGTCTCCTAGAAATTTTCTGGGAACAGCTGTGGTTAGTATCGACAGTTGTTTGTAACTGTTTGTCTCTCTCTCTGTTTTTTTTTCCCCTTTCCTTTTTTTGTGTTGAAAAGTAACTGTTGGTTTAGATAGCCATCTGAAAGCTGATGATGGTATCAATGGAAATCTCTTCCCCCCCCCCCCCCCCCCAAAAAAAAAAATCACAAGCTTCTTTGAGAGAAGCAAAAGAACGTGAGAGATTAACAATGGACCAAAACACTGGTTTATCATATTTGATGTTGGTGCTAGATCAAAGTCTTGGTTTTTTTTTTTTTTTTTTCTTTTTTCCTTCCGGCCTTTTTTGGCCTCATTTGATAAATGATCTTTTAGAGTCTACTATTTTCTGTAACATAACACAGTCATCATGATTTCATCGCATTTGTTTAAATAGGCAGATTCTTGCGGTTTCTTCAAGTGGTGCAGTGAGCTCTCTGTTGGGGATGGTGTATCCGTCAGTCCCCGCAAGAGCAATTACAATATGAGTGAGAAAGACAAACCGAGCTACAATTCTGGAAGTCGGTCGGCATGTTTCAAATGCGGCAAGCAAGGGCATTGGGCAAAAGACTGCCTTATGGTCACACCAAATGCTCCTACCAGGGGACAAAGATCTGCCTCAACAAACGACACTTGTTATAAATGTAACAAGGCTGGACATTGGGCGAAGGATTGCTCATCAAATTAGTTGGTAAACCAGCAAACGGAAGCGTTAGACACCACTTTCCTCATTTCAAAGCCTCGCTAATCGTACCTGTAAATATTGATTACTATGAATATGTTTTGATATCTTCTGGTGCTCACTTGCACAAGCAAAACTAAGTTTTGTACAAGCTAGTGGAGCTAAATCAGGTTTTGACCTTCACTCATCTCTTTTCTGAATGTTCTGGTCCCATTTAGTGAAGCTGAACGGTTGATACACCAGGATCGCAAGCTTTGCAAATTCCAAAGAGATCAATGCAATAGTGTTACGCTGCATTAACTGAACTTTTTACATGAAACTAAAAATTCAATCAAAAAACAATTCATGGGAGCACTGATGTCCTGCTTGGTATTTTGGAAGGGTTTTTGAATAAAGTTGAATATGACACGGAATAAAAAGCTCGATGGAAATGGTGTTCATGAATAATTATATAACTGATTCTTTTGTGACTTCACAAATGTCTAAACTTCCACTTTCATATAATGTATTATACTACAAAATAAGTATTATATTTAGGACTGGAGGAAGTACTATCATTTCATATTAATATATTTTTAAAAATTAATGCGGGTATATCTCTAAGCAAAGGTCATGAAAACACACGATGTGTCCTTGATACACACCATATAATATAGTCAGTGTCATTTAAATAGGGTCAATTGGTTTCCATGTCGCCTTGGGAGGTCAAATTATTACTAGACTAATATGCAGCATGGTAATACCAACCAAGACCAATTATCTAATTGGAGCCTAGTAATCTTAGTTTGTAGATAAATCAATTGTCTATCAAAAGTTAACAATGAGAGTGAGTTTATCTATTGAAACTAAGTTATTTCCTTGTTTGATTTCCTATTATGCTTTTTAGTGTATATGGAAGAATATGGATTGACAATGGGGATGCGGGGCTTAACAAATGCAATGGATTTCTTCTGAAGCTTAGCGTGGCCTTCATCACCTAATTAGACATGGAATCCAATGCCAAGGCACAGAGAACCAGAACACCATTCAAATTGCGTTGCAATCCTGGGAGTGCTTGGATTAGCTTCTGAAAAATAACTTAAAAAAAAAGGTGATTAAAGTTATTTCTAAGAATAGATTTTTAAGTAGAATAGATTTTGTTAAAAAAAAATAATTTTGATAAATTAAAAGTGTTTGGATGGCTATTATCAAAATAAATGTTTCATATGCAAATTACTAAAAAAAGATATAAAATAATAAATAAATAAATAAATAATATATACACATATATAAGACCAATTTATTATTTATATAATTAATTAATAATTAGTATGTATATATATTTTGATAAAAATTGTGGTTTTGTTATACTAATCAATTATTGGCAAGAATGAAACGAGCGAAGTATCGTGTTGGAAAATAAAGAGTGAGTAGAGAGGGACTCACCTAGTTTGAATTTGGGTTTACCCTCGTTTGAATGTGGGCAAGTAAAGCTATTAACAAGTCGTATAACAATATTAATAACTTATGCAGGGCTATCAACCACATGATTAAGAGCTTCTTACGCTTGAAGAGATTAGTTATGACATCATAAATAGGGAATTTGCAATTCTAGTAATGCGACTAATATGTTGTTTAATACTATTAACAAGTTCGTTATCAACTTTAATAACAGGTTTTATAGGTAATTAAAAAAGTGGCACTCTAACAACTTTAATAATGCTACTAACAAGTCGTGTAACAATATTAATGATTCTCAAAAAATTAATGATTACTTGATAAATTGGGAAATTTTGGTGTGCAACCTTCACTCAGAGCTGATATTAAAAACATCCAAACATGAACATTAACAAATTGCTATAGCAAATAAGCAGTGCACTTTTGCATTCCACTTTCTCTAGTAATTGTCAACACTTGTAAAGCATATAACAAGTTTACTAATGGCATTTCCCAAAGACCATAGTCTCAGTGATCTTATTTATATTGCACACAACCAATAACAAGTTAACATTAACATTTCATCCCTAGTTAATATTTTCTTGTTGCTAACATCAAAATACACATTCAATCCCCACTTAATTTCACTGCAATACCCATGGACGAAAAAATAAAATAAAATAAAATCTCAACTCCTCCTTCTTGCAACCTTCAGAATTGTCAAATAGCACCAACAATTCGCCTCTCTCAACTATACACACCTTATTCTTCACCAATCGATGATTTCCTCCCCCCAAACTGAATCAATTTCACTGCAACACCTATAGACAAAACCAGAGAAAAGCAATCTCAGAAAACCTTACCTCTGTATGAACGCATGTCTCTTCCACAGCAACTTTTCTCAACAACGATGCCGCTTACTTTGATTTGGAGCACGACGGTTTCATACCTCTTCTTTTTCTTCCTCTTCAACCACATCTGAAACCTACTACTCCCTCTTCCCTTGCTCTAAAAATTTACTCAGGACAATTTGATCATTTTATTAAATTTCAAATTTCCCTTATGCAAGTAACTATGTAGGGCTTTCAAAATTCAAGTATCATTTTTGTGTTATTTTTTCTAAATAAAACTTTTATTATTACAAATCAAACTTGTAAAATTTATTTTAAAAAATTGAGCTTCTTGATCTTCTTTTTATTTAATTTTCTTTTATGAGACCTGCGAACAATTTTTCCTTTCAATAACGCCGTGGAAGGCAAAATGTGGTACTTCTCCTGAGCATTGAAACGCGATCAGTCATCTCCTCTCCCTCTCTTGTCATAAGCTACATGTGTTCTGTCACCCAAAAAAAAAAAACTATGTTCATTAAATCGATAATTCATTTTCTGAATTGGACCGAGTATATATTATTTGTTGATCAGAAAAATGTACTATCTAATGCCTTCTATGTCCAAAGGGATGCTGGCATTTTTGGATCAACAACGTTTTTCTTTTTATACAAGAAGTACATTTCACTAATTATGGAAATTAACTTTTTTTGAGGTAATAATGATAAATAGTAGACACTTCTTAATTATATTTATTATAAGGACTGTAATAGGTAGTTTTTCCTTCTACAAAACTAATGTTTTCTTTATTTCCTTCTACAAAACTCCTTCAAATTTATATTATCGATCATTTTATCACAATAATGATAAACAGTTTTTCACTTAACAGCGTTGAGTACCAAAAAATTTTTTTAGATGCAAGTTTGTCTCAGAAGTTTAGGATTGTATCAATATTGCCTCATGTCATTTAAAAAGCTAACATTGGTCATTAAAACAATGACATGAACCATTAACATTTTTAACAATATAGGATAATATTGTTATAATTTTATTTTTGAAGCAAATTTGCACTTAAAAAAAACTTACAATACCCAACACTCTTGATTGAAAACTTTCTAAGCAAATTTACAGTTTAACCCAAAAATGAAATTTGAACCGAGTTGATAATGCCAAATATCAGGGGTGTTTGGGTTCCAACCCAAACCATGGTTTGAGAAAAAATCTCCCAAACACCCTTATAAAAACTAAAACCATGGTTTTGAAAAAAGTAAAAATTTTTTGCTTTTGAAAAAAAAAAAGGGAGAGTATGAGAGCCTATAGGATATGTATTTTGTTGTTTTTTTTATAAATATATTTAATCTTATATCTTATAAATATATATACATATTAATTATATTATCTTATGTATTATTAATTATGTTAATAAAAAAATATATTATTAACAATTTTATTCCTTCAAATTAAAATATATCATAAAATATATTTTTTCTGTAAGTATCATATGCCTTTTTTAGTAATTTGTACATGTAAAAAGTGCTTCTGGTAACAACTATCCAAACACTCTCACTTCTTAGGATCACTTTTTCACAAATTCTTCAAAAAATCTATTCTCTCCAGAATCTATTCTCCAGAAGCTATTCTCTAAACCATAGTTTGATTATATCCAAACACCCCCATCTCATTCCAAAACACGATTTGTAATTTATATCACTTGAAGAAGTTAACCTTTGTTAGTTGAGTGCATTTAAGAGAACTAATGTGGTCATTTGCATTAGATGTTGTTCAAGAAATAGGTTAGATTAGTCATAGTTCATGAACAATATGGAGTTCTCATATAATTACAAATTACAACTGTTTTTCCATAAGAATGCAATATAATTTAGATTTTATTTTCAAGGTTGTGTATGAGGGACGTACGATCCAAATGGACTTAATCATCAATCGGTGCTCACAAGTGACATCATGTAAAACGAGGGAACAAAAATTGGGTAAAGACCTGCTTTTGTTTCACAAAAGTATGCCTGAGACAGAACATTTGGCATTATGGGAGCTTGTAAACACATGAACACATGAATTTGGGAAGAACAAGGTTCACACAATATTTTCACTCTGTTAGATTTTTGGGCTTGGATCCGCCCTTGATGGGCCGGATTATTTGACCCGGTATAAAGAGAATATATCAGTCAAATATCCAAGCGATATCATGATATGTTTGACTTGGTCAAACATCCTGAATCATATCCAATCGGTTACGATATAAATCTAATTAATTTATATTAAATTAATTAATTTATATTGTATAGATTAAATATATATTAAGTATATATATTTAGAATTAATTGAGATTGATTCTGGATTTGAATTCAAAATATCATGATATTATGAGATAAGGATATATTATATCTTATCTCAGATTTTATCTGATGGGCTCAGTGGATATTTTTATGCTACCCAAAATATCCCTGACAAAAGCTATAAATAGAGGCTTCCCCCCATCAGTTCAAATCACTCCAGTAGTAGAGCTTTCCTACTATCTCTCTCTCTCTCTTAATTTTCTTTCTTGCAAAAGTGGTGCTCTGCTGTGCACTTAAAAGCTCAGACTTTTATAGTCTAGCTTAAGCGTGAGCTAAGGAGATTCGACCGACCCGACCCGAGATCCGACCCGGTATGTTTTCGATCCATTCCAATTTTTCTAACATTGGCATCAGAGCCGAGATGTTCTTGAGGCTCTCAATATATGTGTGCATATATATATTACACGCTCATTTTTTTTCCGCTGCACCGTGAATATGCCGTATGCCATTCGAACTGAATATGCTTGTGTTTTAAACTCAAATACACACTCCGTTTATATAAGTGAAGTTCGAAAACATTACTTGTTACTCCGTAAGATTTAAAAACGTGATCGAAGTCTATTTTCTGGAGCTTCCAACGTCGGCCGTTCGAACCTTGTTTTT